GGGGGGGGGGGGCGGCGTGCAGGAGGTGGCTGGGCCGTGGCTCTCTCCCATCATTGATGTTTCTCTCTCTCCGGCTCCCTTCCTCTCTCTGAAATCAATAAAGCCTTTTTTTTGGGGGGGGGGGCAATGTCAGTGTTATTTTCAGTTTGCTTTTTTCAGACAAAATAATAGGGCAGGGGCGCAACTTTCGGTCAGTAAATTAGGAAGTGTACTATATGTCAGTTACAGGTTGCTTTGGGGTTATTTCTACCAGAAATAATAATATGAGTTGGAGAAAAGGCTGCTTGTTTTGTGAAGCAAAGCGCATTAGTAGGGGAAGCTTAGGATCTGGAGCAATTATCTTCAACCAGAAACACTTGCTGCTGGTTCACACATTTCCTGGGTATATCCCTCACCTTCTGGGAATATACAGGAGGTTATAAACTGTGTGCGACACTAGAACAAAATGCCCTGGGAGTAAGTGGCAATAGCAAAACCTGCTCAAAACTAGAAGGCCCTGGTCTTATGAAAATGTCTAGGTGTGCATGTTCCCTCTTCCTCTTCTTTCCGTCCGCTTCCTCCCTTCCTTTTTCTTTCTGTCCCCTCCCTTTGTCCATGTTTTATTTTTTATTTTATTTATTGCACCTGGAAAGAGAATTTGAGCAAAGTAGATATGTTTTAACAAAAAGAGCCCTGAATTGGGAGCTGTGAAGTCTGGCCCCAACACTGACTGTGCGACTTTGGGGAAGTCACTTACCCTCTCTAGGCCTCCGTTTCTGTTTGCCAGACACTGTCCCTCCTGAACAAGACAGGAGAGACCTCTACTTTCATAGAATTCATATTCAAGTAGAGATGAGCTAAACAAATGTAATTTTAGGTAATGATTAATGTGTTATTTATAGAATAAACAACAATGTTGATAGACCCTGGGCACACGGAGGACTTAGATAAGGTGGCCATGAGTGCCCTCTCAGGAAGTGACATTGAGCTAAGACTTGAATGATAAGAAGGAAACAGCCATGAAAATGTATTTCGGGCAGAGTAGAGGTCAGATGCTAAAGACCCTAAAGCAGTAACGAGCTGGGCATTTTTTAGAAACAGGAATGGGCCTTATGGTGAGAATGTCACTGTTGAGCAAAGGAGAGATATAAAATCAAACTATAGAGAAATTTATTCATTAGCAAATTCATCAACAGTTATAATTCTGATTAAAATATCCATAAGGTCAGAATTCTGGTCTTAAGCTTTGGCTCAAGGGAAGGATGAGTTCACAAGAAGGCTCAGCCACCAGATGGCTTAGAACACCAGATGGCAGAGTGAAAGGGACCTTTAGGCAGCACTACAGATCCCTGCTTGGCTTCAGAGGCCTTTGTTGATGTTTTCAGTTCAGTTGTTTGGAAACTTGGGAAGGCTCTGCACTGTCCTTCCAATAGCCACTAGCCACATGTAGCTATTTACATTTAAATGAATGAGAATGAGATAAAATTAAAAATCCAGCTCCTCAGGCATACAGCCGTGTTTCAAGTGCTTGATAGCCACATATGGTTAGTGGCCACCATATTGAACAGCACAGATGGGGATATTTTCAATCATCACAAAAAGTTCAACTGGACAGTGCCAGATTAGAAGGTTATCACAGGCCCTGGGCGGCGTGACTTGGTTGGGCATCATCCCATGTACCAGGTTGCTGGTTCGATTCCTGGTCAAGGGCACATGCCCGAGTTGTGGGCTCGATCCCTGGTCGGGGGAGTGCAAGGAGGCAGCCGATCCATGCTGTGCTCTCACATCAATGTCTCTCCAAAAAAAAAAGGTTATTCCTGGAAAGTCCTGGTCTGTCTATAAGCATCAACCCTTCAGTCTTCCTGAGGAATCTCAAAACTTCTCCCAAACCCTTTTTTTAAAAGAAGGACTAGACACTTCCATTTCAGGTATTTTAACAGACTAGATATTCTAAAAACCTTTCAGCTAAAAACACCTGCACATTCTGGATGCAATGTTTAAAACATCCTTTTGGTTACACTTGCAGCTCTCAAGAAAATAAAATTTTCTGAAATGAAAAATGTGGGAGCACAAATTTATATAATGGTAAGTGGGGCTTGAAATGGGTTCTAAGAGTGACTGCTGGTTTCTAGAAATCTAGGGCATGGGAAACAAGGCCTGGGCTTGTGCCAGGTGAGGAACTGGAAGAGAAAACTTCGCAGAGAGCCCAGATCTCTAGAGGTCCACCACGTCCATGAAAGGGCTATTTAAAATATGAATAAAACAAAAGCTGCCCCACTCAGAGAGACATGACTTTTAGGAAACTTGTCTGCCTCAACATCTGGCTCTGGAGGGAAGAAAGAAATCCCTGGAAAATGTGTAACCACAGGCCAGTCTTGCAGGATTAGAATTCAGATTCTTACCGCCTACATGTTCAGGCCATTCAAATGGAAAAATCTCGTCAAGCCACTCTTGTATTCTTTATTGATTTAATCTATGCCAGATTGACTCCAGAATAAATAAATAGATCTATTACCCTTTAAGACATTGAAATAGCAGTTTTAAATCTTCCCATAGAGAAAATGTTAGGCCCAAGGGATTTACAGATAAGTCTACCCAACATTTAAGGAATGATTAATTCCAAGCTTCAACTCTTCAATCAAAAAAAGGGACCACTCCCCAACTATTTGATAAAGCTGGTATAACCTTGGTAACAAACCAGAGAGGGATAATACAAGAAAGGGCAATAATGCGCCAGTCCCACATGTGAACACAGATGTAAAATCCTAAAGAAAATGTTAGCAATCCAAATCCTGGGATTTATAACAAAGGTAATAAGTACATCATGGTCAAACTGAATTTACCCCAGGAGTGTAAGGCTGGCTTAACATTAGAAAATCTAATTTTATTCACTGCATTAGCTGATTAAAAGGGAAGACAAACACATCACCTCAGTAGGTATGGAAATTTTAGATTAAATTACAAACCCATTCAAGATAAGTAGCTAGAAACAGCAGGATACAACTTATTAAAAGAAATATGTACCAAACCAAAAACCTACAACGAATATTACATTTAATGGTGAAATGTTTGAAGTGTTGCCTTTAAAATCATGAAGGAGACAGAAGATGGCTGCTGTGGTCACTTTCAGCATTTTACTGGCGGTCCCAGGCAGCACAGAAAAACAATTTGTTTACAAATTTTATGATTGTCTTATAGAAACTCAACAAAATCTGAGGTCTTATAGAATAAATAATTCAGCGGGTTGCTTAATATCAAATCAGTATGCAAAATAAACTGCAATCCTTTCTACCTGTAATAGATAAAAAATAAAAAATATTTACAGTAGCAACAAAATATGAAGTCTATCCTCTCTCTGAAATCAATAAAGATATATATGTATATATTTAAAAGTATTTAAAGGAAATGATCTTTAAAAAATAAATAAAATAATAATAAAAATTTTTTAAAAAAGAACCTAATAAAATATGCGACTGACATGGAGAAAGATTATAAAGCTTTATTGAAGTACATTTAAAGACATCAAAAAATGGACACATACCATTTTTTATAAAGATTCAATATCATAAAAAAAAATCTATCCTTCCCAAATGAAATCAACTGCATGGAAACCCAAATGAAAAAAAGATGCAGGCATTTTCCTGGAGCTTGAGGGACCAAACAATTTCTATGACAAAGTAACGGAACAAGTCAGTGATTTTGGTGAGTAAAGGAAGGAAGGGCCGACCTACAAGTCAGTTTATGGCTTATTAGAAACCATAGTAAGCCAGCGTGCCACTGATACAGGGAGACACAAACACACAAGTGGAGGCACTGGAGAATCCAGGACCAGACCCCCACACATGACAAGCAGTGACATTACAGTCTGTGGGGAGAGGGCGGACTAATCAGTACATAACAGCCGTTCAAATGGGGAGGGGGAATGGATCTCTGACTTTTAAGCCAAAAGCAGCAACAACAAAAACCCAAAGAAAAATCCAGGCGCATGAAAGACCTGCGTGTGAAATGCTTCCAGAAGAAAATACAGGAGTACGGAAGGGTTTCCCCAGTAAGACAAAAACAGACTACACAGCAATAAGTAAAAGTTTTTATATTAAAAAAATAACTATTCTTTAAAAGATGCTGTCATACTGTCATTTTTTAAAAAACTTCTAGCCCTAGCTCAGTGGTTAGAGCGTCGGCTCATGGGCTAAAGGGTCCCAGGTTCGATTCCTGCCAAGGGCACGTACCTTGGTTGCAGGCTCAGTCCCCTGAGGGAGGCAACCAATCGATGTGTCTCTCTCACATCAATGCCTCTCTCTCTCCCCCCCACTCTCTGAAAAGCAATAGAAAAAATATCCTCAGGTAGGATTAAAAAAAACACAAACTTCTACTAATTTAGAGATACATACCTAAATATGGAGGAATAAAATAGGATTTGCTTCAGAAGATTTGAGGGTTGAGGGAACAAGTAGAGTGTTGTTGGTATAACTTAGCTCTGAGTTGGTAATTGTTGAAGCTGGGTGTTGGGCACCTGGAGATTCATCAAATTTTCATAGAAAAGGTTAACAGGAAAATAAGAATATTATGATAATACAATACCAGTTTTCACCCACCAGATTAGCAAACATTTTGAAATCTGATAGTTTTAAGTGTTAGCAAGGGCATCAAACAGTGGGAACGCTTACACACAAATGGTAGGAACTTAAATTGCCACAACTAATTTGGAAGGAAATTTGGTGCCTTCTACTCAAACTAAATATGTGTACTCTTCACTACCCAGCTGTGCCCAATCTAGGCAGAATCCTGGAAAACCTTGCTCATGGAAACATGTACAAAAATGTTCATGGGCTCATTGCTTTTAGTAGCAAAAACACTAGAAACCACCAAATATCCACTTGTAAAAGAATGCGTGGCTAAAGAGTGGTGTGTTTACATAATGGATTGAACGTGAATTGACTGCAGTTAATGCCTCAGCGTGGGTAGATCTTACAAACATGATAAACTAAAGGGATTTGCAGAATACAACACAATGCTTTTTATGCAAACTAAAACCATGTAAAAGTAAATGTGTTGTCAGGGATGCATACTTATGTAATAAGTTTCTAGACAAAGGCTAAGAATGATAAATTCAAAATTCAGGCTAGTGGTTACTGTTGGTGAGAGAAGGGAGCACCCTAGAGATTGTAATGTTTTGCTTCCTAAGCTGGGTGGAAGGTACGTGAGTGTACATTATAGTAAGCTTTAGTCCTTTTGTATGTAATAAAATAATTTGTAGTTAAAAATACAAAATGTTTTCACAATATATACACATAGTGGCTCATACACCTGAAACTAATGTTATATGCCAAGTATATCTCAATTACAAAAATATATATATATGTATAAATATTGTTCGGTAAAAGGAGGAAGTGAGAAAAGAATCTCAAAAGTACACGTTGAGGGAACAAGAAACGCATTTCGGTTCAACAGCAAACTTGTACTGAGAACAGATGAATGAACCTTGCCTTCCTACGAGGTACACAGTCGTCTGCCAGAAGAAAAAGGCCGGTTTCTCTCGGTGCAGAGGGGGAGGAGCTGCTGCACAGCATGAGCTCTCGCCAGACTCCTGATGAGGCCCCCCTATGTCCAGCAATTGGTGGGTGGGCTCTCCATCCCACATAAAAGGTCTGAACTTCCCTTCTCTGCACCCCACCTGCTCCCTGTCCCCTCCCGTCTTCAGAATGGTTTCTAGGTTTGAGTCTTTAGACATGCAAGCAGTAAAACTAAATACAGTACAGTGCCGAGTGAATTTTCCATGTAGCTTTCTGAAGTGAATGAAAGGGAACAGAACGGCAGCAGTGAGTGTGAAAGGCCTGACACCTGTGGCTTTCTCCTGACATCTGTTCCAGGCTTTCCCAGGCAACTGGAGGAACCATCCATGCTGAGACATGCACTCTAGGCTTCTGGCTGATTCACCAGGTGAGTGACCCGTTCAGGAGGAATGCATCTCTACACCAGGGCCTGATCCCAGGGGAGGACGACACAGGGATGTGCCAGACTCATGTCTAATATGGAGGAGGCAGAACACTGGGTGGTCATCTTGGCATCAGTACCTCCTACCACCTCGTTTCTGGCTTCCCCATGGCCTTCCTGGGGAGTCCCCAGCTTCCTCATGGCCTTCCTGGGAGAGTCCCAACTTTGCAAGGGCCTTCCAGGGGAGTCCCCAGCATCCCCAGGGCCTTCCTGGGGAGCCCACAACAATGGAAGCCTGCTGGGCAATCTGATCCCAGGTCACAGACAAAGTGCTACCAACTCTGGCTCCTCAGGCCTTGTCACACTGGCTGGATCCAAGGCCTTGGGCTCTCTAACTTAATTTCCAGCTTTGTGCCAGCTTTCTGGGTCCCATGGTGATAAGAGAAGTGTCAGCTGATGGTCTTCAGGTCTGAAAGAGACCAAACAGAATCAGAGGGCTTGTCACCCTCCCCAAATCCAGCATCTTTTTCCCCCAACAAGTCTCCACCTCTTCTAACTTTAAAAAATATATATGTTTCTATTGGTTTTTTTTTTTTTTTTTTAAAGAGAGAAGAATGTTGATGTGAGAGAGAAACATCGATCACTTGCCTCCTGTATGCACCACAACCGGGGACAGAACCCACACCCTGGGCATGTGCCCTGACCTTGGAAATTGAACCTCAACATCTCCAACCCCGCCTCCGTAGCAACACGCCACCAATGCCAACAACGGCTAAGGCTCACTGAGGACTTGGGCTGTGCCTGTTCCAAGGACTCTGCTCCGAACACTTACTCAGTGAGCTGCTAACTGGGGTGTACGGTATCATTCTCATTCCCCCACTGCGGAAGCCCAGGCACAGGGGTGCAGTAACCCCAAGACCCACAATGCTCTCAGGGCCTGCATTTTCAACTACTGGGCTACGGGGCTGCCTCCTGAAAGCCCAAGCAGGTGGACGCTCGCCCCTGCCCCCGCCCCTCCCGGCAGAGCTTACAGCGCAGGACGGCCTCCTTGACCTGCGGGAAGCCTCGCTCGGGGCCCCGGCCGTCCACGTAGTACATGAAGCGGAGCTCGGGCGGGTAGGCGGCCCTGGCCAGGCCGGTGAGCAGCGGGATGGTGCAGCCCTCGGCACCTGGGGCCTGGCTCAGGGCCTGCAGCATCTGGTACCGGCACCACGGGTCACGCAGGAAGCCGGGCGTGATGAACAGCACACGGCAGTGGCTGCTGTCCAGCGCCCGGCACAGCTCGGACACGATGGCGCTGCCGGGGGCCGCGTCTCGTAGCTGCATGAAGCAGCGCAGGCTGGCAGAGCTGTCCTCCAGGTAGGCGACCAACTCCTGCACAGCCGCCAGGTCCTCCTCGCTGTGGCACACACACACGTCGTAGTCCCTGCTCCAGCGGCCACCACTGCTGCTGCTGGAGGCGCCCCGGCTGCTGGAGGCGCCCCGGCTGCTGGAGGCGCCCTCCTGTGCCTGTGGCGGGGCGGGAGGCAGGGCGGATGCAGCCGATGCAGTAGAGCTGAGACCCGGGGAAGGGGTGTCCTCCTGTGGACATCGTGGTGGAGCGTCACTGGGGGAGATTTCCTGCGACACAGGCATCTCCTTGGGCTTCTTGGACAGGGCCTGCCTGAGCCAGCCTGTGGGAGAAACCCTGCTCAGGCCTGATTCTCACCAGGCTGCCTCCTCGCTGCGGCAGAGGGGAGCCCGGGCCAGGAATCAGGCCCACCTTCCCGCACTGGCCAATGCCGCCTGATTCTCAGGCCGACTGCTCGGCTATTCCGCACACCCTCAGGACTTGCCCAAAGTCCCCACTATCGTAAAAGTTTTCGGGAAGACATAGGAATTCTGACTGTTTTATAAGTCCTGGGATGCAACGTACAGCAAGTGGCTGGCTAATACTGTATTGCATATTTGAAAGTTGCTGAGAGGATAGATTTTAAAAGTTCTCTACACTACAAAAAAATTCTGCATGTACAGTAACAGATGTTAACTAAATCTGTGCTGATCACTTTGCAAAATATAGGGAATCATGTTGTATATCTGAAATGGATATAATGTTGTATGTCAATTATACCTCAATTTAAAAATGCCCCCAAACCCTTGGTATAACAACAATATGGGGGGGGGAAAAGAAAAGAACTCTGGCTCTTTTACCAGGCAGACTGGGAAAGGCCATGCCCTGCCCCAGGCCCTTGGATCAGGCCTACCCTACCCAGAACTTCTGCTAGAGCTGACCAGTCAACCATCTGTGCATCTGTGAGTAGAGCTACATGAAGCTAGAAAGATCAGTCAGTCCCCAAACTCATTTTCAGCACTGAGGGGAGGCAGATCTGGATTAAGGAGGGCCACGCATTATGTGAGGGAAAGAGGGGGAGGGGTTGGCATCCGTTTGGACCTGAGAAATCCTAGACTGTTCCTAAATGGGTAAAACGGAAGTATGGAAGAGGGCTACTGCTCAGAGCTCCTGGAGGGCACAGAGCTTGGTGATTCGGGTCCTACACTTTGGAGTTAGGCAGAGATCTGAGTGTGGACCTGCTGGCTCTCTGTATGACCTTAAGCAAGTCCGTCTTTGTCTCCATTTCCTCATCTATAAAATAGGCTCATTTTAATTGTTGAAGATTAACTGGGAAAATGCAGTGTCTGGTATATGTCAGTACTCCATAATGATTTCAACTCAGCTCCCCAGCTTCTGATAGGGACAGAAGGCTTGGTGTTCTGGAGGTTGATCTGTTTTCTCTCTCTGCTTGGCCCCTTCCTCTGACTGACTCTGGAAGATTTAGGTGACAAGAGACACAATGTTAAGCACTCAGCATCATGGTTTTCGGGCTAGGAAAATTAGCTGAGCATGCCTGGAAAAACATGTGAGCCAGAAGGACTGAAGGTTCCAATGCTGCACACCCCCTCTCCTCATGCCACAAAGCACCTGGGCACCAAAGCAAGGCAGGAGGCCCCCTTCATCAGCTGCCCTGCATCTCTCCCCTGTGTGGGGGCCAGGCAGGCCTGCTACCTCACCACTAGGAACACTGAGGGCTATACTCACAGGAGCAAGAACAGCATTAGGAGTTTGCTTCCACTCACCAGCCATCTTGCCCAAAGGCTTCTTAGACCTGGAGCCAGAAGCTGGGAAGGAGGTGGGTGATGCCATAGTGTTAAACTCAAAACTAACCCCATGAGACCAGGCATTGGTAAAGCGGGAGAAGGGAGGAGACCCAGTCTTGACCTCATGGAACAGCCATCCTGCAAGAGACAAGAGAGAGAGGATTGCAAAAGCTATACTTACCTTACCCTCTGTGGCGGGGTGGGATCTGCAGTTCTTTCTCTCCCAATGACTGACACTCAGTCTCTAGATGGGTCCCTCACCCTCACTGGAGAGATACCACTGTGATTGGGGCTGGTTTCTAGATAAGCCCAAATCCGGGGGGTGTGGTCAGACTTACAGAGTGTGAGTGCAGCATGACCAGCAGTGTCTGCTCTCTTCTCCACCCGGCCTGGAGGGCATTCGGGAGCTGGGGAAGGGCAGCCAGCAGCCAGCTCTTTACAGGGACTTCCTGTGTAAATGCTGAAACGAGAGAAGGACAATTGCTATTTGGACATATAATGTATCCAGGTAGACAGATGCTGAGCAGCAGAGGGGGGACACATGTAAGAAACCTTGGGAAGCTTCCCCTCAAAGTCAGCCTTCCCCTGAATAACTTCTTCCATCCACCCATGCCTCCTTCCCTCTCTCTCTCTCTGATGGTCCCCCTCAGCTGTCAGCCCAGGGAAGCAGTGACACATATTGGTGAAGACTGCAGCCTGTGCAGGCCGAGGGCCTGGGATCTCACCTTTTATTAACTGTGGCCTTTGGCAAGCTACTTAATCTCGCTAAGCTTTAGCTACTCCATCTGTGCAATGGCCATTATCCCATCACCTGCTTCTCAGCTTGTTGTGAAGATGACATGAGACAACTTATATAAAGGACTAAAGGTACATGGCCTATAATGCTCAGAAAAGTGTGGGATAGTATGTATTTAAAATCCTCTAGATATTGGAGGGATATATTATGTTCCTGGTTTAGAAGACACAGTAGTGTCATCAGTTTTCCCCAAACTAATCTTTAGATTAATGCTATCCCACATTCCAGAAGGTTGTTGGTTTCGGAGGGGAAGGGATTGTCAAAGTGCTTCTAAATGTATAACGGAAACGCAAAGGACTAAGAATACCTCCAATGGGAGACTTGCAGTGTTCCCTTCCCACCACAATGCCCAGGGTGTCCCTGATGGTAGAGGTTTTTTCAGCCTAGGTTTCCGGGAGGACACCCTGTGGAGCACAGCCTGCCCTGGTCCAGACAGAGCCAGAGATGAAGGGCTGGCGGGGAGCTTGGCTCTAGAGCTGTGGAGCAACAGGAAGAGAGGACTGCTTCCTCGCCCCTCTCTCTGCTGAATCCGCAAAGGTCAAAACAAACCCCCTGGGAACTTACATAGGAGCAACTTGTATTATTAGACACACTGAAGTAAGGGGTTTCAAAATGCAGAGAATGTCATTCTATGTTGGACAATAATGCTTCGTCCATTGTTAAATGCTACCCCCACCCCCCGTGAAGCTGATGAATGTACAATAAGGGGTTCTGTTGATTCATGAAAATCTATCCAAGTTCAAAAAAAAAGAAACGAAACTGCAGCAGCGAGGGGGTAGAAAGAGGAGCTGGAATGGGTGCAGAATCAGAGACACACTTGGAAGAGAAAAGCAGTTAGTGGCTAAGCCTGCCAAAGGGACACGGACAGGTAAACATTAGAATATGTATGTTTCTTTTCCTGCCTGATATTCTCTGGATTTCAGATGCCTAGTGCTGGGCCGAAGGTAAGGCGGAGCCTGACAGCCGCCGGCAGGTTGTGAAACCCTCTTCCTGCGCAGGGTTCCTGTCTGTGGACACCTTCATTTCAACCATTCACGACGTCCCTTTTCCCTCCAGGAGTGAACTATTGTCAGTTGCTTTTTATAATATTCAAATACTTTTTTCAGTTTTGTTTTAATTTAAAATTTGTTATTTGGCCTTGATACACTTACAAACTGGAGAATCGCTTGATATTTTAATGACAGCCTAAAGATGAAAAATTAACATAACACTTTAATCTACTCAACTGATATAGATTTATAAGTTTCAGTTTCTCATTTTGTAAAATGATTTGCCCTTCTGGCAACAGGTGCTGGTTTGGGGTAACTGCCTTTTTTTCACTGCTTGGTTAAGAAAATATCCAGTTGCCCAACAGCATATGCCACTGCAAGTGGGTTAATATAAGCCCTTATGACTGACGTTATGGAAAAGTTTAAACACAGGAAATAACACCATCTTTGAGAGAGGATAATTGAGCAAGAGAGTAAGGAAGTTCCATTAGCCATACACATTGTCCACTTCCCAGAGCCTAAAACCCTAAATACCTTCCTTGTTACTTTTCAGTTCTGAGGCTGTGGAGCTATTTATTACACTCAAGTATGTTTTCATCTTTACAATATACAATAATAGTCATATATTGAGATTTAGGAGACATAGTTGCCACACAGATAAGCTATTTTATGCACCCAACCTAGGAGCACCTAAATTTACAAGGCAAATCTTGAAGGACATAAAGGGAGAGATCAACAGTAATACAGTTATAGTAGGGGATTTTTAACACCCTATTGACATCAATGGGTAGACTGTCCAAACAGAAAATCAACAAGGAAACAGGGGCCTTAAATGACACATTACACTAGATAAATTTAATTGATATTTTCAGAACATTTCACCCCAAAGAAGCAGAATATACATTCTTTTCAAGTGTACATGGGACATTTTCCAGGATAGACCATATTTATTGAGATACAAAACAAGTTTCAATAAATGTAAAAAGACTGAAATCATATCAAGCATCTTCTCAAACAAGAATACCATGAAACTACAAATCAATTACAAGAAAAAAACTGAAAAACACAAACACATTGGGGCTAAATAACATGTTATTAAACAATGAATAGGTTAGTAATGAGATCAAGGAAGAAATCAAAAGATGCCCTGAGACAAATGAAAATGATGACACAACGAGTGAAAAATCTATGGGACACAGCAAAAGCAGTCCTAAGAGGGAAATTCATAGCAATACAGGCCTACCTCAAGAAACAAAATGTCAATCTCACCTTACACCTAAAGGAACTAAAAAAAGACAAACACAAAAGTTCAAAGTGAATAGAAGGAATAAAATAATAAAGATCAAAATGGAAGCAAACAAAATAGTGTCTAAAATTTAAAACACAAAAGATCAATGAAACAAAAAAGAAAAGAGAAAAACCGAAACAAAAGATCAAAGAAACCAAGAGCTAGTTCTTTGAAAAAATAAACAAGATTAATAAACCTTTAACCAGATTCCTCAAAGAAACAAAAGAGAGAGAGCCCAAATAAATAAAATCAGAAATGAAAGAGGAGAAGTAACAACTGACACCACAGACACACAAAACATTATATTATATGACAGCAATTAGACAACCTGGAAGAAATGGATAAATTCTTTGAAACATACAATCTTCGAAGACTGAATCAAGAATAAACAAACAATCTGAACAGACCAATTTCAACCAACAAAAATGGAACAGTAATAAAAAAAACTCCCAACAAACAAAAATCCTGGACTGGATGACGACACAGGTGAATTTTACCAAACATTCAAAGAAGAATTAACACCTATCCTTCTCAAACTATTTCAAAAAATTCACGAGTAGTGAAGATTCCCAATCTCATTTTATTAGGCTAGTATTATCCTAATTCTAAAACCAGGTACAGACACTACAAGGAAGTAAAATTATAGGCCAATATCCCTGATGAACGCAGAGGCAAAAACCCTCAACAAAATATTAGCAAACTGAATTCAGCAATACATTGAAAAGATCATACTACAAATTGATGTCTGTCTGTCTCTCCCTTTCCCCACCACTCCTCTCTCTCTCTAAATCAACAAAGAATTTTTTTTTTATATCATTCACTATGATCAAGTGGGATTCACTCCTGAGATGCAAGGATAGTTCAATATCTGCAAATCAATCAATGTAATATACCACACTTAAATAAAATGAAAGATGAAATTCATATGATCATATCAATAGATGAAGAGAAAGCATTTGACAAAATCCAGCACCTATTTATAATAGAACCTCTTAGCAAAGCGGGAGTTACCTGAACATAATAAGGGCCATATAAGACACACCCATAGCTAACATCAGACTCAATGGGGAAAAACTAAAAGCATGTCCCTTAAGATCAGGAAGTAGACAGGGATGTCGACTTTCACCACTCTGATTCAACATAGTACTGGAAGTGTTAGCCACAGCAATCAGACAAGAAAAAGAAAAATGCATCCAAATTAGAAAGAAAGAAGTAAAACTGTCAATATTTGCAGGTGACATGAGACTAGAGAGAGAGCCCTAAAGATTCCATGGAAAACCTACTAGAACTTATAAATGAATTCAGGAGAATAGCAGGACACAAAATATTCAGAAATCAGTTACATTTTCATACACCAGTAATGAACTATCAGTCAAGGATGTAAAGCACAGCACAGGGAATACAGTCAATAATATTGTAGTAACTATGTATGGTGCCAGGCGGATACTGGAAATATTGGAGGGATCACTGTGTAAAGTATATGGTTATCTAACCAATACAGCCATTGGTAAAAAAAATAAATTGAACACATTAAAATGAAAAACTTCTGTTCATCAAAAGACATCATTATGAGAGTGAAAAGGCAATCTTCTGAGAAAAAAAAGATAATTTAAAATTACGAATCCAATAAATACCTCACATTCAGAATATTTAAGAACCCTTACAAACTTGTAAGAAAGAGGAAAATTTATTCAAAAACTGGGTGGAAGAATTAAACAGAAACTTACTTCACCCAAAGGACTTCCAAATGGCCAACAGACATGAAAATATGCACAAGTCGTTAGTCATCAGTAAAATGCAAATTAAAACTTCAATGCAACCCCACTACCCACACACTGAGCAAAATGGCTCCTATGAAGGAGACAACATCAAGTATTGGTGAGGATGGGGAGACACAGGAGCTCACACAGGGCAGGGAGAAATGTAAACCGGCACAAGCTGTCTGCAAAGCGGTTGGCACCAGACAGAACGCTGACCCTGTACACACCCAGCAATCTCATTCTAGGAACAAGCCCAACAGAAGCGCTTACACATGTTCACCGAAAGACAAACACTAGAAGCCTTCCAAGCACTACTGAAAACGACCCCGAACTGGAAACCGCCTGTGGCCATCCGTGCAAGTGCACAGCAGCGCGAAGAAATGCGCTGTGGTCTGTACAGCGCAACATCGCACGTCGGCGAGAACACGAATCACTGCCGGACGCAGCATGGGGGCATCTCACCTGCTGTGTATAAAACGCCATGCCCGACAAGGACGTCACATACACTATGCGTCAACCGCTCAAAAACAAGTGAAACTGCTTTATGAGGCTGGAAGGTCGGGCAGTGGTTGGGGCAGCGGTTAGGGCGGGAGGAAGTAGTGACTGGAAGCGGGTGTAGGGCTTCTGCGGAGGAGCGGGGTTTATTCTGCACGCAGGCTGCACAGGAAACGTTCACTGTGAAAACGCGTAAGGTGTACACTTACAATCTGTGCGATTTTTTAAAAGTTTAAAGAACAACTAGAGGTGACGTCCCGTGACGGCTGGTCATTCCTGACCCTTGGTGCCCCCGGGCTGAGCGACAGAACTGCGCGTCTGTCTCCGCGAGGCGGGCTCAGTCCGTCCGGCTCAGCCGCACTTTTCCCGCTGCCCGGCCCACGGAGGCGCTGGTGAAACGACTCTGGGAAGAATGCCCGCCGGGTCACTCCCCTAAGTTAGGCCGCGTTTTGCTGACACGCGGTTACAGGGGCCACCGGAGGAGCAGAGCGAGAGGCGGCGAGCGGAGCTGGGAGGCCGGGCAGCGGGAGAGGCGGCC